CACTCACAGTTCGACCAACCACAAACGGGGCAAATGTATCTGTGTATCGCAGTCAATCACCCTTCTCAATCTTTCTAGGATTAAATTCCTGGAAAATGATCAAGAGAGCAAGGCGTTTGTTCATCTACACACTAGCTTACATCACCGATGTGGCCAACAAGGCACCAGGTCCTTTTGCAAACTACATACACAAATGTAAAGTCACACTTGCAAGGAAAGGCTACCGCACTCCACCTTCAATCACAAGTATTCAAAATGATGACAAGAGGGAAGAACTCTTGTTAAAATTGTTTAAAAAAGTCACATCAGACACACCTCTTCCTTACTTCCTCCACAATGAAATGCACTGCTACCATCTTGACTTCCTCACAGAAGCACTATTCACAGCCATGAGGGAATAGAGACAAGTCAGAACACGTCTTCAAAAGTTAGGTGGGGGTTTGTCATCCTCTCAAAAAATTAGGTTTATGTTACACACCTGTAAGACAAGTCCGAACACGTTTATTTGCTTTAAAATTAGGTTTAAGCGGGTTTAAGTTATACACCCATAAGTTACACTTCCAAAAATATTAGGTTTAAGTTAGGCACTCAAAAGATACCTCTTTCCAAAAATTAGGTTTAAGTTAAGCACTCAAAAGATACCCTTTCAAAAATTAGGTTTAAGTTAAGCGCTTAAAAGATACCCTTAAAAAAATTAGGTTTGGGTTACGCACAAAAAAATACCCTTAAAAAAAATTAGGTTTGGGTTACGCACAAAAAATACCCTCTTCAAAAAAATTAGGTTGGGTTACACACCAAAAAGTTACCCCCCACTCGCGCTGGCCCTTTTGTCACCTGGGTGACATTGGGGAAACAAGATGGCGTCGGGTGACACGGGGGTACCTTTACTACTCACATAGTTGTGAAGGGCCGCGGAATCTAAACGGCCCGTATTCTGAGAATCACCCAATTGTACAAATATTTATCATATATGTCTATATTTGTAGTTATGTATGTTTTAGTACATCGCTAATCATCACGTTCATCCACAGATTTCTCGACGGGTCCTAGCAACGTTGCCCGATCTTGCCGCGGCATTTCAACGTTGTCCGATCTTACCGCGACGCTGCAATACTGTTCGATGTAACTTTTAGGGGTGTAAGGAGGTAATCATAGATTCTGGTATAGTGAGACATTCTGAATCTTTTTAATAGGGTATTCCGCTACAACACAGTCGGAACCTAAAGAAGAAAAGCATGACTGCCCGATCTGTATCCTACTGAACGCTGATTGGCAACGATGGCGTGGGTGTGGCTGTCAGCCAATGAGCGCGCAGGAGGAAACAGATCGAGCAGTCATGCTTTTCTTCTTTAGGTTCCGGTTGGCTTGCAGCGGAATACCCTATTGAGTCACTTTTTTTTTAAAGGAACAGAAACGCCCTATTTAATAACAAGCAGGCCCGCCCTTCCGCCAAACGGATTTGCCAGCTCCACTTCGCTGCGCCGGCAACTCTGTTCGGCAGGGGCCGGGCCTGCTTGGCCTGCCGGCGGCGATGGTCGGGCCTTCGGCCCGACCATTTCA